TGTCTAAACAAATGTATACTTTGTTCTGCTCACCATCTTGTTTTGTGTGGTTTGTGAACTAAAAAAAAAAACAGACTTTAGTGATGAAATTTGGTAGATTTATCCTTCTTTGTCTCTTTTTTTCCATTGCCACTGACAGGATGGCATCTCTGTGGTAGGATGAGAAGTCCAGTGCCGCGTTTCAGGGACGTTGAGAGGCAGGCCAGTGGCCTGCAGCCCACACAGTGTCTTCCTCCCTGTCATGAGAGACAGAACAACATGTGGTTCATCCGAGATGCCTGTGGCATCATTTGTGCGATCATCACCTGGCTTCTCGTCGTCTTTGCCGAGGTCGTCGTGCTGTTCGTCATGCTGATTCCATCGAAGAGCCTCACCTACAGCCTGGTGAATGGCACCCTCTTCAACAGCCTGGCCTTCCTCGCCCTGGCGTCTCATTTCAGAGCCATGTGCACCGACCCGGTGGGTTTTTTTACCCAAATAATAAATTCTTTCAGGGTGCCTGGTGGGTATGGGAGACAATTTTCCCCATTACAAGGGGATTCTGCTCATTCATGAGGGGAATTATGACACTTATAAACTATATTTAAACTATATAACTTAATGTATTTCACAAAGAATAATAATATATTTAAGTTCATAGTATTTTAATAGTATGTTAATAATTAACATTATTCATGTTAAAGATTCAGTTAAGTCATATAATTTGTAATCAATAACTAGTGTTATAATTGCCCCCTGAGCTCACAGCCAAGATAAAATCTTGTAATTTAGTTTCTAGCAACACCATTAATGTGAATTATTTACCAACAACCTAATAGACATTCATTTAAATTCATTAGGTATCAAAACTTAAAAATATCGGGCATAAATGTCATCACTGTAGCATGTTAGTAGTGTTGTTTTTCCCCCTAGTCTACCCTAAATCTTCAGCAGGGTGTCATAAATGCTTCCCATACTACTATTAAAATGATGCTGAAGTTGCCTGATTCTTTCTTAGGGAGCCGTGCCAAAGGGAAACGCCACTAAGGAGTACATCGAGAGCCTGCAGCTGAAGCCTGGCCAGGTGGTTTACAAATGTCCCAAGTGCTGCAGTATTAAGCCGGATAGAGCTCACCACTGCAGGTGAGAGAGGAGCATATGGAGACAAAGATGCGTAACGGTAGCAGCACTATTCATCATGGTCATATTAACATCCATGTTTTTTGTTTTGCTTTTGTGCTGCATTGAGATCATTTTAGATGAATATACAGCAGTTGGACAAAATAATGTGAACACCTGGGAAATCGGCCATATTTCATTATTAAGGACTTTTACCAACATTTGTCTTTAATACAGCTTCCAATACAGATTTATACAACTTCTGAACAGTCTCCAGTGGAATGTCATCATCTGCCAGTTGTTTCAGAAGTGTTGAAGGAATCTGTTTGGCCCTCTTCTCTCCAAAACTGCCCACAGCGGTTTGGTAGTATTCAAGTCTGGTGACTGAGCTGGTCAGGGTAGATGTTGACGTTTGTCTTGCCGTTCCAACTGTTCAGGTTTTATGATCAAGACACCATATTTTAGCATTTGTGCCTGTGATTAAAATTTTAGCGATTGCAGCTCTTGCATGGATGCTGGCTTTGTGAAGTTCTCTGTAGTCGTTTTTGTGGAAACAGGGTCTTCAAGGTGAATATTGAGGTGTGCTGTCATTTTGTGGCAGTTGTTCTGTGCGGACACAATCCTCCTTAGTGTTTGACAGTCCCTATTATTCACTTTTGGTTTTCTCCCATTATTCCTCTTCGTTATGACGTGTTGTCATGCTTTATGCATGCAGTCATAATCATAAAGACTGTGGAAAACCAAACAATAGCATAAAACACCAAACAATTGGTCTGTTAAGGTTACAGAAGCTCCTGCTAAACACGCTCCCATGATTTCTCCTTTTTGGAAATTTGACAAGTCACCCATTTCACACACGGATTGTACTGAACACAGTTTATACAACACTGATATACATCCTAGAGAATGTAGACAACAAAAAGATAATTACAATATTTGTTTTTTCATTGTTGCCTATGCGAATTATATTAACCATTATAATAATGGGTGTTCACATTATTTTGTCCAACCCCAGGACATGAAGCTGAATATTTTTGAAAGCCATATCTTCAAACCATTGTTTTGATGACTGTCTTTCAGTTGAAGTGTTAAGGTGACTTTTTCATCTTTCTTTTCTCCACTCCCCTTTTCAAACTCATTTTAGTGTTTGTAAGCGCTGTATACGGAAGATGGATCATCATTGCCCTTGGGTAAACAATTGTGTCGGGGAAAATAACCAGAAGTACTTTGTGCTTTTCACAGTAAGTACTAAAAAAGTATCATCATGTGCAGTTCTAACAATACCACAAACACAGCTGTGTTTGCCACATTTTACAAGTGTTGCATTTTAATGCAACTAGTTCTGGACTTGCTGATAAAAGTCCAGTTCCTTTCCTCTGAATTTGAAAGTATCATTAATATTAAATTGATTGTAAAGTTTTTGCTTGGGATTAAATTGTATGTTGTATTTCATTCTGGCTATTTGAAACCAACACTAACAAACATCTAATGTTGGTGCTGGCGTGTTTTTCAGATGTACATTTTCCTGATCTCTCTGCATTCCTTGGTCATGGTGGTCTTTCATTTTCTCTACTGCTTTGAAGATGACTGGACAAGTAAGTAAGAAAAGCAAGTTATTGTTAGCAAGACCGATAACTTGACCCCAATGACCTCTAGATGTCAGGGTCAGATGGCAAGCATGCAATTTAGAATGTTATCTACTGGAAAAAAGCATTCAACCTTTGCAAATACAGATAAGTACTTCTTAAAGTGACAGTTCACCCAAAAACATTCTAATGAATACACTGGCAATTTTTTCCATTCGATTATAATGTAAATAACATTTTTTAATCATTTAAGGGTTTTTATTTTTATTATTAGCTCTAAAAAGGGAAATCTGCAATCACTAAAAAGCATGCTACAGCACTATGAAAGTATCATAAAAGTAGACCATTTTCTGTGTGCATGTGGAAGTTGATGTGTGTGAGAACAGGAAATTGCTGCTGTGCACTTTTTTTTTTAATGATGGACAAACCGTAGTATGTACAGTATATCACAGAAGTGAGTACACCCCTCACATTTTTG